TGAGCACCAATGCCACAAATGAGCATTGAGGCATTGCTCATTGGGGCATCGAGGCACCGATGCTCCAATACTCAGTTGAGAAAGAAAACCATTAAACTCTTGCCATATTTTTTTTATCGTAGTCTGACCTAAACTAGTAGGAACGGTTAAATTTCGATTTAAAGCTTTCGTGACTGCAGGGATTCATCTTCTTGGTTCTTTCGGTAAAGTCACGTAGAAGGGAAGTAATAAAATAATAAAAATAATAAAAATAAAACATAATATTATGTTTTATTTTTATTATTTTATTACTTCCCTTCTACGTGACTTTACCGAAAGAACCAAGAAGATAGTAGGAACGGTGTTTTTGTTGTTGTGAACAAAGTTTGCGTAGCAACCAAAACACGGTGCAGACTCAGTTCTTTCCGAACGTCGTGGGGTAGAACGTGAGTGTCGTCGCCTCTGCTGAATCTCTCTGTAGACACCACTGCTTGGATGTCATGGGCTGCCAACAGTGCGGGCAACAGTGCGGGCAACAGAGTGCTGTAGGCAGTGCGGAGGGACGCGGTGCCGGCAACAGTGCGTCACCACCAGCGCGCTTCCTGCCAGCGACACGCGGGTTGCAGAGAGCGGAGGGCGACCTTCAATACTTTCATTTCCCACGCGGGCAAAGCGCTCGGTGTTCATGAGAACACACACCACGTGGGCAAGGCGCTCGGTGTTCATGAGAACACACACCACGCGGGCAGGGTTCTCGGTGTTCATGAGAACACACACCACGCGGGCAGGGCGCTCGGTGTTCATGAGAACACACACCACGCGGGCAGGGCGCTCGGTGTTCATGAGAACACACACCACGCGGGCAGGGTTCTCGGTGTTCATGAGAACACACACCACGTGCGCAAGGCGCTCGGTGTTCATGAGAACACACACCACGTGGGCAGGGTTCTCGGTGTTCATGAGAACACACCCCACGTGGACAGGGTTCTCGGTGTTCATGAGAACACACACCACGTGGGCAGGGTTCTCGGTGTTCATGAGAACACACACCACGTGGGCAAGGCGCTCGGTGTTCATGAGAACACACACCACGCGGGCTGGGCTCCAGCGACTCACATCTGACTTCTCCAAACACCAATTATGAACACGGCCCTCCTCCAGTGGGCATTGATCTTAAGAAGAACCATGAGGACATCTAGACACCCCCCCCCTTTCTTCTCCCTCACTTTTTTTCTCTCCTACAGGGCTATCAGAGCTTAGGAAGAAGACACCAGACGGTTATAGACATGTTTACATTGCAACTGCAATCCGTAATGTGCGGTTGTGCTGGTGTCGACCCCCCTTCATGCCCATTGTGTTGTGCACCTGAATCGTCGCGTTAACAATAAAGATATATTCTTGGTTCTTTCGGTGAAGTCACGTAGAAGGGAAATAATAAAATAATGTAAATCTTTTTTTTTGCTGTGGATTTCATACCTGATGTTTATATGTTTATTATTTTATTATTTCCCTTCTACGTGACTTTACCGAAAGAACCAAGAATATGAATCCCTGCAGTCACTAAACCTTTAAATCTAAATAAAGATATATATTTAAAAGAACTTGTTAAAAAAACACGCTTTTATGAAATGTACTAGTAATGGAAGAACTCCACGACTCCAGGAAGTGGCCCCAAAGCTTGCCATTACGTAAGGGACCGTGAGAAATTACAGCCAACGTTAGTTGAGCGTGGACAATTAGACCCAAGCCGAAACATAACATATGAAAATTATGTAAAAACATTTTTTATGATAGAAAAAGTGTTGTCATCAGTATGACATAAGTATACCAAGTTTGCAGTCGATACCACATTGGGAAGTGGGTAAAAATTAAGTTACAAGATTTGAGGATATAACGACAACAACAACAGACAGAGTGAGTTAAATGAAAGCGTGTAATAGTAAAATACTTTTTGGGCAAAAAACAAACAAACAAACAAATGGACACGGTGCAGTGCGTCGACCTGTTTGGCTTTCCAGAGTGATGTGTTATCCCGGGCCGGCTGTGCTCGTGAAGCTCTTTGCACGGTCGCCGTCCACGGCTGTCCACTCAGCACCGGCGCGGTCACGACGTTCGCATTCGCCCTTTTGACCTTTTCATAAATGGGGCGCGCGGCTGCGCTCCGTCACCGCGGGGCACCCCGCGTACGGGGAGGGGGGGGGGGGTGGGCCACCGGCCTCGCCTGGGGACATTCACCGAGGCCGGGGTCGCCTGCGCCGCGCGCGCCGCACAGCCGAGCGTGCGCGTCGCGCATGCTTCATGCTCCTGACGACATCGACCGCGATGGGGTGGGGGGCGGGGGGGCACGGGGCTGGGGGGGACCACCCCAAAGGGGCGACATCCGTGACAAGGAGCTTCACAGCTCATCGGATTCCTCCATTATGAATGCCGATTCTGAGCGCCCGGCGAGAGCCGAGTGGCTGCACCGGCTCGTGTGGCGGTGGGCGATACGTGTGACATCGCGAGCTGCAGGCGCTCCGCTGAATATTGGCTGTGGATCTCAGGGCAAGTCAGGACAAACACGTGAGCAAGCGTGCGACAATTATCGTTACGATGGCTGATGGCAAATAGATATGAAATACCAATAATTAGAATTCATACGTAACAGGAAAAACATCTGCCAGTAAGCAGTGCCAGTACTTTATGTCCGTACTCTTTCGTGGTGATAGTCGGTTACTACTTTCTGACATCCACCAGAACCTATTTGTATTTTCCACGTAAGGCCCACTAAGCTATTAGCTTCTTTTTCAGAAGCGACCTGGCCACATATAATAGCTCAACGCAGTGGCTTATCGCGTGTAAATTCATAGTAGCAGCCAAATACTCTAAACGCGTGGTGATGTTCATTCTAAATGTGGGGGGGAATCCTGGAGCACCCGGAGAAAAATCCACGCGGCCACGTGGAGAGAGACACGCAAACTCCAAATATACAGCAGCAGGCGTCGGGGTCGGGATCGAACTCACGACCTCCTGTATACCAGGCGAGGGAGTTAACATCTCCCCAAGGAGACAGAGAAACACACAAACTCCAAATATACAGCAGGCGTCTGGGTCGAACCCACGACCTCCTGTATACCAGGCAAGGTAGTTAACATCTCCCCAAGGAGAGAGAGAAACACGCACACTCCAAATATACAGCAGGCGTCTGGGTCGAACCCACGACCTCCTGTATACCAGGCGAGGTAACTAACATCTCGTCACCGTGGGCCAAATGTCGCCGACGCAAGTCTCTCGCGTCGTGCCGCAACCCAGAACAAACACCACGCGGTGTGACTCCGGCTTCCGAGGGTTCACAAATTCGAGACGCGAGGCGAGCGACTGGTGTGAGTGGGTGAGCGTCGTGAGCGAGCAATTAACTCAGCGCCGCGATTCACAATTAGTTTGTCGTGTTCGTTTAATGGCGAACGTTGACAGACAGCCCTCCGCCAACCGACAGAGCCAATCAAATCGAGTTGACGAGTGGGGAGAAATGTGCCGATTGATTTGGCTTTTTCGGCAAAGCCGGAGGGGAGGGACGGGCTGTGTGGGAGGTGCATGTTGCAAAAGCGAGCCATGCGTTGACATCGATCACGAATCACGAATCGTTCTCGTGGCCGTGGAAACCTCGGACGCTCGTTGTTCGCGTCGAACGGCTGCGGCCGATAGATTTCTTTGTAATTCACTTCCCCAATCCAGTCTTGACTTACGATGCCCCCGCTTGGCATCGACGCCGGCCGGGCGAGGCGGGGCGGACGCCGTCCATGCGGGTCGAGCCGCGGCGCTCGTGCCCGCGTCGTCGGCGAGCGGCCGCGTCGTTCGCGGGGCGGTCGACCCCCTGCCCGCCCCCGGGGGCTCTCAGAGGGACCCCTGCGGGGCGAGCGCGCAATTCTCGCTCGCCAGAAGCGAGTCGCGGCTTGGCCTCGCAACTATGGCCGCACTCGGGCTGGTCAGTACGGCAGCATTGTTGTTGTTGTTGTTATTTTACTTACTGATATATGTTAGCCGAGGTCATCCGTTGAGATGGAACTTCTCATGTGCAAGGGTGTCCGTGGCGTGACGCGTAACACGCATGTACGTATGTTGGACTTCTTTCGCACCGTACGTAGCCAACCGTGCCTCATCGTCGGTGCGGGGGAAGGACAACAGACCAAACAAAACAAGAGCCGGTTCGAAACAAATGAGAAACGGAGCAGACAAGTTGTGATGATCACGCGTACGAACGTTGTACGATTGTTTTTCTTAAACCCACAACTTATATCTGAGTGCATTTCGTGTATACACAACCTCGAGTGGATTTCTACAGCGACGGAACGAGGAACGAGACAGCAGAGGCAAGCGCGCAGGGCCATCGCGCACGCACGCATCGAATGGCGTGCACCGCCGGCGCGATTGCCACCGGGAGGGGTCCACGGTTCTGCGTGTGGACCAGACTGCCTCGGTGAACCGATGCGGGAGCGTCTATATTATTAGGCGAGCAGCCCTGGCCCTGGTGCTTATCCTGGTGGCGCGATTGCGCAGAAGGGCCGTCGCGCAACGAACTAAAGGCGCGCCGGGCGGTGGAGGCCTCGCGGCCCAGGCGGCTGGCGTCTCCAGAATCGTTTTTTGCTTTTTGCACGCTCCACTTCTTTTTTTTTTTAAACAGCGGATGCAAAAGGCACGCGGCGCTCCGTGCGTGTGCGCGCGCGTGCTTTTGCACGGCGGCAAGCGGCAGTTGTGGTGGCGGTGACAGTGGTGGCGGTGACAGTGGTGGTGGTGACAGTGGTGGCGGTGACAGTGGTGGCGGTGACAGTGGTGGTGGTGACAGTGGTGGTGACAGTGGTGGTGGTGGCGGCTTACATAACCACAGCACAGCATCCACCCCCCCCCCCCCGGCACACGTGGCCGTGGTCTGCGGGGGTGCGCGCTGGCGCAGACCGCCGCCAGCGCCGCCAGCGCCGCCGCCGCCGCGATGCCGCCGCGGCTCCGCTCGCTCACCCTGCGCCTCTCTCGCTCTCCTCCCGCAGAGCTGGGGAGCCGCGGACAAGAGGCACTGCCAAGCCAAGAGGTGAGCCGCGGTGCTGGACAGTCGCCGCGCGCGAGTTATTTCACCGCACTTTGCCACGACGCCCGGTGCGGGTTTGGGCGAAGGCGGGGGGGCACAGACGTGGGAGCGTAGAAGTACGGTACAACGGCGGAGTTTGAATCGCTGCACGCGAGGCAACCCCCTATCAACCTCTTGTGCAAGGTGGTGGTCGCCCATTGAAGCACTATCCGAGCTCGACTCTGCTCACCCCCGAATCCTGACGCAATTCCGAGTGATTTCGTTATTGGGGAAGAAAATGTAATGAACGATGTTGACGACGACGAAGCTTTTGTGTCGACTTTGTGCAGACATTGCTTTATCTCAGAACGTCATCTAATCGCGATCAATAGCGGCGTGGTGCAAAGCACTCGACTTGAAGTCAGACGGGTTTCAAGTTAAACTCCTGCCTGTGGCGCTCTCGAGGTGAGTAGCACTTTGTGGTGAAGAGAAAAGTGGTTTGTCATACGTAAAATGAAAAAAAAAACCGGTTCCCCGCTATAGGAACATGGAATTTCCACTATCTCAGAGCCACCCTCTGTGATGAGCACCGCACCCCATGCCCCTTTGAGCGGTGGGGGGAAACTTTTTAGAGTTTTTTTTTTGGAATGACAAATTGAAATGCTGGCAGGGTGTCGTGGAAATCCTGAGCGCGCAGTGGCGCGGATTATTGCGACGGGGGAGAGGTGACGTGCGTGCAAACTCGCCAACGAAGTGCGTGCGACGATGATGCGTTTTCTGTCTGGCACATAAATCCCACACATTCTGCAGCTCAGATATAAAAACTTAAACTAAAACTTTTTAAAATTGTAATTTGACAGGAAAGGCCCGCTGAGCTATATAGCTCGATTTCAGAAGCGACCTGTCGATCACAAATTATAGCTCATCTTGTGGAAATGAATAGCAGCCAGATACTCTGAACGCCTGATGTCGACCAAGGGGAGACAGACACACAAACTCCAAACATACAGGCGTCAGGGTCGGCATCGAACCTGTATACCAGGCGAGGCAGTTCACATTTGAATAACCACAAAGTGGCCATCACCACTCATTGCCCGATCGATGATGGGGTATTCTTTTAATTTTGGACAATTTCACTTGCACACAGAGACCCCTGCCTTGACAGGAGAATCAGTGACGCCGCTTTGAATCCAAGTGGTATCGTGCAGCCCGCGTCAACTTGTTTCGAGACACTGACCCTCCTATGAATACATTCAAAAGCCCGCGATGTTCTCTCGCTGCGTTCCCCTGTTGTCATTTCCACGGCCGCAGAAGCCGCCCCGTGCCAGGGGCAATACAATGAGAAAGCGGCCGACGCCTCTCATTGAGTGGCGCCGATGACTCCGCGTTGTGGCAGATTGAAGGCAACGAGGGTCAACTCCGCCCCGTGCTTGAAGCAACTTTCACCGTTTCGTCTTCCATCGTTCTGATTACTCATTGTGTTGATTCTGGGCATTTCGCTGTTGTTGTAAAGAAGCCCCCCCCGCATGATGTACAATCACACGCGCGGTGACCTCCATTGTCCCGTGCCGCTCGCTCATTCTAAAATCCACGTTCCCGTCGGCGACAGCGCCGGATTAAGCTAGTGCATATGATGTTATAAAGGGGCCCTAATTACAAAAAAACACACTTAAATATTAAAACACGTAATTTTTACTTGCATCGGTTTCGTTTGCTATACAATTCGCTAACCTTAAACACCCGGTCGTTCATAAAAGTTGAAGGCGGTATAGTACTATAGTGATAGAGCAAGTGCAGAATCACTGAACCGGAATTGATAGCTTGCAAGCATTTAGCGCGGGGCCTTTGAAAGTGCGGGGCCCGTAGCTACTACACGTGTAGCTACTTGTGCTACCAGGATAATCCAGCACTGGTCGGCGGCTGACTCGATCGCTCGCCGCACCGTGCCCGCTGCCGTCACCGCTGCCGTCACCGCGCTCTCGGTGCCCGGTTTATTTCGGGCCCCTGCTTCGGAGTCCCGCAGGTTCCACGCGAGCCGCAGTTTCTCGGCAACGAGCCCAGACCGAGGGCGGGCGCAGGCTTGGTCGCCCGGGGAGACGGACTCTCTCGGGGGGCGCTTGCCCTTGCCGGCGAGGCCAGAGGACGGGGTTGGAGACCGGGCCGAAGGTTGTGGAGGGAGTTGGGTGGAGGTTGGGCCCACGTAAGGAGCCGCCAACGGCGATTTCCCCCCCACCCCCCCAAGTTGTTTTTCTTCTGGCAGTGTCACGGTCGAGGCGGCGCATCTTGGGGCGCAGCTATAGAGGGGGGGGGGGGGGGGCAGCGTTGTGTGGCGACGAACAGGGGGCCCAGTCGGCCACAAGGGGGCCCCGAATCAACGGCGAAAGAAGCCACAAAAATATCAAAACGGTTTTTTTAATTAATTACAAAATTACCTGCGGTCTACCATGGACCAAGCCCGGTGATTAACGGCGTCTGTGGCTATCGCATCAAGAGCAGCAGCAGCAATTCGCGTGATCCACCCCCTTGGAGGAAATCCTAGAACCGATGGGGCCGCCATAAAAGCAAGACGCACGATAACCTCATTGTGAGTATTCTTTCCATTCTATCTTTTTTTTATTAATATCTGTCACTGTGAGTCTTCCTCTAAACCCAATATACACGGGGCAACTAAAATAATATTTAGCTTAACACGTAGTAGGTTTTCGTGACCAATATTAACCATTGATACAGTTTTTTTTGGGTTAGATCGCGTAAATATATAAATGTGTCGTTAAAACCACCACCACCCGACACAGCCAATTAGTAAGGTTTGTCACGAAAATTGTCATGTTCTGTTTACATAACAACGCTTACTTATTGGCTGTGTCGGGTGGTGGCGGGTTTAACGTCACGTTTATATTTACGCGATCTAACTCAAAACAAACCGGTACCATGGAAATAATATATCGCCTACATATTATTGCATACGGGGTTAAAAACATCCGTAGCGATTTCAGTGAAAGGGAGTCTAGAGAAAGTGAGATCTTGCATAGCCACCACCACCACCACATTGTTTAAATAGGTGGCAGCGCCCCTGGACGTGACACGTGACACGCGCGCTGTTCGCTGGGGGGGTGGAGGGGGGGTGGAGGGGGAGTGGAAGGGGGGGTGAAGAGGGGGTGAAGGGGGGTGGAGGGGGAGTGGAAGGGGGGGTGAAGGGGGAGGTGGAGTGGGGGTGGAGGGTATGGAGGGAGGTGGACGGGGAGTGGAGGGGGGCGTGGAGGGGGTGTGGAGGGGTGGTGGAGGTGGGGTGGAGGTGGAGTGGAGGGAGAGAGGGAGGGTGGAGGTGGGGTGGAGGTGATTGTAGGTGGGTGGAGGTGGGGTGGAGGGGTGGTGGAGGTGGGGTGGAGGTGATTGTAGGTGGGTGGAGGGGGGTGGAGGTGGGGTGGAGGGGTGGTGGAGGTGGGGTGGAGGGAGGGAGGGTGGAGGTGGGGCGGAGGGAGGGAGGTGGGGTGGAGGGGGTGTGGAGGGGGTGTGGAGGGGGTGTGGAGGGGGGTGGAGGGGGTGGATGGAGGGTGGAGGGGTTGTGGAGGTGGGGTGGAGGTGGGTGGAGGGGGGTGGAGGGGGGTGGATGGAGGGTGGAGGGGGGTGGAGGTGGGGTGGAGGTGGGGTGGAGGGGGGTGGAGGTGGGGTGGAGGGGGTGTGGAGGTGGGGTGGAGGGGGGTGGAGGTGGGGTGGAGGGGGGTGGAGGGGGGTGGATGGAGGGTGGAGGGGGGTGGAGGTGGGGTGGAGGGGGGTGGAGGGGGTGTGGAGGGGGGTGGAGGGGGGTGGATGGAGGGTGGAGGGGTGTGGAGGTGGGGTGGAGGTGGGTGGAGGTGGGTGGAGGGGGGTGGAGGGGGATGGAGGGGGGGTAACGGCTTCACCTCTCCTATGGCAAGTCGGTGCCAATGCCCACGGTTCAACATCTCGATTTGATTTAAGGACACAATTACGTTCCTCTGGAAATGCGCTTTTGTGTTCAGTTGTGTTTCCCCTTCACCCCCCGCACCTCCGATTGGCACGGTTGGGCGAGAAAGAAGTTCAACGTGCAGGTATTTGTTTGACATTGAGCCCGTTGCATATGCGACTGTCACATAAAGAGAACGCTCGGGCCGGAAGGGGCGATGTGTGGGTTGTGTCCTCTGGGTGGGGTGGGGTGGGCGGTTGGGACATTTTTTATTGATTTTTTTTATGTTGCAGCGAATGTAGCAGCCACCAGAATTTGTGGAAGTCAATTTCGCCCATTGTGTCACGACATGTCGTCGCATTTTTACCATCTCGTTTGTAATTCTAGTTTATTGACTCTCTCCGACAGCCTCGTCTCGGTGCCACTGTGTCATTTGCGTGTTTTTTGTTGCTGCATGCATCTCGCCGCACCTTTGTCCACTTTTGTCCAAATCCAACGACGCGTTGAACATCACTTGCGCAGCCGTGCAGCAACGGGTCGAGTCGTTCCGCGATACGTGCGACCGGGCGAGCCTTGAGAGAGGAGACGAACGAGTTGATGAGCCCACGAATCGTCACCGCCCCCCCCTACCCCTCTGGCCACACAATCACCCCCTCGCCGTGCGGTCGAGGGGGGTGTGCGGTTGCCCGGAGCTCGGCTCGTCACAGACAGACAGCGGGTTCACCCGCTGTCCTGTGAACCCTCCGCGTTGACGCTCCGCCGTTGTACAGACGTGGGGCCACGGCTTTCCAATGCACCCCCCCCGTCGCCCCCCACTGGGGGAGAGGTGACGCTCACTCACGCGACGTCGTTCGAACGTCGTCGCGTGAAATTCCACCAAGAGTTGCCATGGTGCGCGAGCCCGTGACGATATTTCACCGCAATTCTTTTCATGCGCGGCAATTGCCGTGCCTCTGCCGCGGACGCGCCGAACATCCCGTTCTCTTGTCGTTGTTGTTGTCGTTGTTGTTGTTGTCGTTGTTGTTGTCGTTGTTGTTGTGTTTATTGCTTTGCTTGTGGCAAGAAGAATTCCCACTCTCGCCGTTGTGGCTGTGATGTC